TGGTTCCTTCTGCTAATTCATGTTAGCTGAGATGTTTCATTTGCATAAGATCTGTGAAATCTTGTGAAGCTAGTACAAGTGAACTACTCTAGTTACAAGAGTTTACAGGTTTTCAATGTGGCTTGTACAGAGTTCGCTGTGTACCATCATTGCCCCTACTAAGCCGAGCTGCGTCCACATTTGTTAGAGCTGCTGACCTGCACTCTTTTTTATTTGCTTTTTGATTACTTACTGAACACTACAGTTGCACCACAAACAGGCTGAACATACAAAAAGGGGGCGCAACCCAAGTAGAAGTCATAAAGTTTCAGAGAGATTATATCGATTGGCTACTGCTAATTACTCTTTCCTATGGTGTGGGTAATCGTTTTATGATTAATGTTCAGGTTAACTAGTCTCCCTCTGAAAATGAACATCATCTATCCATTTATGAATAGTCATTTTGCCATCATATTAATGTCCTGCCTTCTATAGAAAAAAAACTAGGGGATTATAAACAGAGACAGGAAAAGGAAGGAATAGTAAGTAAAAGAATCTTGTAGTGAACCAGAAAAATTTTGTAGTAAAACCCAAATATAGGGCTTAGTTACGAGACTTAAAGGCACGTTCCGCTGACAAAAATGGTGGGTAGTAGGGCTAAAATACGAATATCAAGGTGGTGACTAGCTCATTAGTGAAGCGATGAGCAGAAAAAATCCGTCAAAAATGCCCTAGGTATAACTCCATGAAGAAACGAGTTTGTATGTAGAGCGAAAAGAGGGCGTGCTTGGAGAAATTCTCACTTGCTAGTATCAGCCCCTTATCCCTCCTTTTCTCGTCATCAATAGCTAGTAGCGGAACAGCCGCAACACTATGACGTCAACAGAAATGAACGTTGGGCGGGTCAGTGGGCGGGGCCTTGCCCACGTCATAAGCGTACAACAACCTTACCATGCATTTTTGAGCCGAGAAATTGGCCCGCGGACAGGCCTACCTTTTCTAAGGGAAGCGGATGCACACCTAATGAACGAGGAACCTTCCTTCAGAGGATGACTTTGTGGTGCAAGCTGATGAAATCAGTTCCAAAACAACAACATCAGGTGCGAACCAGGACACCCGCGTCGCGTAGGAACTAGTAACTAGTTGCGGCACTTTCCACCGGTTGTTGAAGCGAACAACCAAGAAGTCGTGTTACCTGTGGTTGTATCGTCGTTTTCCATCAGTTATTGTCGCTTACCATGTTCAAGACCAGTGTGGGGAACGACTGCGACGCGCAAGTCCACCCTCACTACATTATCCATCATTCGAACTAACAACTTTTGAAACGTGAGTCGTTATGTACGGTGCAATATGCCGCGCATCGTGAGCTCACTTACATTCTTGACCGCAACATCTCCAACAATGAGTCCTTTGTTGCTGCTAAAAATAGTCCTGTTTCAGTTGCCCACACGGTTATTGGGGCAGCCGATGTGAGCTGCACTTTGTGGCGCGTCTCTTCGCTCCAGTCAAGGGACACGTTGAAGTGGAAAAGTCAGGTGTCTCGGCGTTCGCATTTATCATTCTCATGCTGATCGTCTCCATTGGACTGATTTTCTATTCGTACAGGAAGTTAGCAAAATTTTTCTGTCTACTTACCATTCATCCGTTCCTACCGCTCTCCTGGAATTTCTCGTTTTACACTCTCGTTCTTTTCTTTTTCATCCACCATTCTTTCGAAGTTTTCTCCCACATTGCAGTTGAAGCACCTAAAAGAATTCTGTTCAGGATAGTTCGCCGTAATGCGGCATTTGATTCGCCCACGCTTCTTTCCCTTAATCATCATCTACGACGTCCGACTGTCTCGTTTCAAGCAATGCCCGCATCCATCAACACTACGCCCTCTAGCAGTACAACCTACAGTACTCGAACTACCGTACCACCATGTCGTGCACCTTTTTCTCCGTTCTCAAGAAGGTCAGTTATTCTTATAAAGCTACGATAGACGTGCGATATATTTTTTCATGGGGTGGTTTACCATTTGATATAGCTGTCCTGAACAAAGGCACGATTACAGTCCAAGCGGTAGAGCCCAAAAAAGCGCGGTCGCAACCACATCCAGATGAAGAACGCAGCCACGCCTCCCCATCTCTAGAATATAGAAGGCGCGATGAGTTCTGAAAAGTAGGGGTAAGCACTGTGCAGTGGTCCGTATTCTTGCAGAGAAGCAGTCCATGCTGGAGGTATATGCGAAGGCCCGCCACTAGGCTCTTCTAGCATCCTCTTCTCGCTTGTGTGCGCAGTCCACGCTGACAGGATGGGCGGAGAAAGACAATAATCGTGCCCTCTTCAATGGAGAGGGCACGATGATTGTCTTTTTCTCCGCCCACTTGTCAGCGTGGACTGCACATAAAAGAGTCTGAGGGCGAGTATGACACGAAATAGTATTGGAAAGTTCTCTAGTCTGTTAACCTCCCTGAAAAATGAGTTCGCTCTCCATGTCTGGTTTTGTTGGTTAATGAGTATCTTGACTGCCGAGGCCTAAAATGGTCTTTCCCATGTAGGCCTGCTCTATGGGGTATAATTTAAGGACTTCTACAAAAGAAGTGGTGCTTGAGTATGGGTCATAAAGGATTGAATCTACTTACAAATCTATTTTTCTCGTCAAAATTAAAAGAATGATTTCAGCTACAGCCATATAGTCGGAAATTCTCGTAACTTAGCCAGATTCACTCCCTTACACTAAGTTGGCGTTTGAACGGAGTTGTCATATCGAAAAGCATGCCCGTCTTCATAATACAGTTGATTAACGAATCTTGTTTCTGAGAAAGTGAGTATACTGTGGAGGATTTAATTTTGCTTTTTTTTTCCTAAAAAACAAAGGCTCATTTCCCACGCACTGCGAATAAATGGACATGTATTTTGAATATTTTGGAGGGTTAGCCGCGTCATAACACCGGTAATATGAGCTTTTGCTTCGGAAACATCAAATCGTTATCATTTAGAGCAGTTGCACCGCGAATCGTGTCAGTACGACAGCCTCTCTAACGAACCAACTGCATGATGAGGTAAGGAATAAATTCCTGACCCCTCCTCAAGAGCCGCTTAATTTTGTTACTTTTTCTCAGTTACTCGGGCTTTTTTTAGTTATATAGTTGTCTATATAGTTTAGCGAAAGAAAAACATCCTTGTTCCTAACACTGCAAGGCGCTGGTAGGGGGGGGGTCGCAGTATTTGATCGATTGTTTGGGAGGAAGGGAATATTTTCGCGGCTTTTCCTTTAGCATGCGTTATTTACCCCCCCCCCCCCTTCACTCCACGCTCGACGCATAATTTTTGGGGAAAACTGGTAGGGAAGCTTGTGGACTGTAAGAAGTGGTAGTTAGGTATTGGAACGTGGGGAGAATCCCCCACCACCACCACACACTATTATCTTCAAATGACACTACGGTTTCAACACATCACGATGCTGATGCCTGATGAGGTTTTTGTGTTTTAACTCTGGACGCGCTGACCTTTAGTTCTCGAAAAAGTAAGATTGGAATCGTCCGGGTTGTGAAGGGAAGAAGCCGTGCGTAATGATGGGTGCGACTTTTTCTAGGACACCGAACTGAGCGGAACTGAAAGAAGTCTCGGGGACACAGTTTGTGACGAGGGAGGGGAGGGGCATGTCTGGCCCTTCGCATAGATGTGCCGACCCATCTGATTAGCCTTTTCTCGAGTTGACACGTTTTAGGATATTGGCTAGACATCTTGCTCCAGCTTCACAAGTGTTCACAGGTTTCAGGGTGAGTGCTTGTAACGAACTAGGGAAGCAATGGTAGTAGCAAAATGCCCCCGTCGACTAAACAGGAGCTAGGTATGCGATGATGCTCTCGATGGATTCCCGGCTTCCAGCAGCGAAATCGCGTGCCTAATCCAGACCTGGTGGCACGCAGCCCATTGGGTTTAGTTGCCCATTAGTCACCACGTTTCATCTAGGCCACTCGACGTCAGCGCGGCGCAATTTGCCGACGGGAGAAGCCGCTCTTTGGCACGTTCAGTTAACTTTAGCTGAGTTCTGGTTTACAAGTCTCACTCTGGTGAAACCTGTGAACTGTGTGGAGCAAGCTCTTGTGAAGTTTGGAGCAGGCTCGTCAAGCCATCATGGTGAAACCTTTCAACTTGAGAAGAGGCTGTCTAGATAGGTTCGACGTGATGAGGAATCGTTAAAGTGGAAATTGCCACCCCCGCCGGTAAACTGGCAACGCGCCCTGCAGGCGCTTCGATATCCTTGGCTGGAGGTCAAAGGGCTAAGGATAGTCTGTAGAACTATCCTTGGATGCCTCTATTCGTCTCCGTTTAAAGGCCTGTAGCTGTCTTGAACTGAACACGCCGTCTGGTGCCGTCCCCGAACTACGTTAGCACATTCAACCACAAATTATTTTCTCGAGGAGTAGTTTCTGGTACGGAGGACGCCGGAAAAAAATTCTTCGTTGAGAATGTTCAGAGATAAACGCGAAGTGTACGTCGAGAAAAGTCTTCGGTGATCCATCGTTTATTCCGAATTTAGACTGTCTACCACACGGCAATGGGCCCACTGCCCATAGAACGTCCAGCAGTCAACGAGAAAAACGTCGTACAAGACCCCTTGCGACTTGCCACTGCAGTCGAAACCACCAGTGTCAAATAGTCCAGTAAATCGTTTTAGTTGGAAGATTCATCATGGTTTGTGCATCCAATCAGCACATGCTGATGGCTCCGCCTATCTGGTACCCACCTGAGAGCGCCTTAACTCAACCTCATTTCAATATTATATTGTGTCTTAATCGACTGTACTATGTGCTTTATTTGTTGCCATCCTGTGCCTTCATTGAGGCTGCTCATTTTTTCACTTACTCACTTCACCTTGTAATGCCCTAATTTATGTATGTATCTGTGATTACAACAATATCGTGACCTAAGCGGGTGTCCTGGAAATTCTGTGAATGTTTATTTTCTTGGAATAAAGATCAAGCACGAATTACTGTTTCATAGGCCTGAACGAAGTCGCGGTATAAAATAGCGAAAAGTCCTAGATTTATCTGCTACCTTACCCCGCACGCTTGGATTGGCTTCCCAAGTTTAACTCCATCCGGACCGCGTGACACACATGGTGTGTCATAAACTTGTCTCTATGCGGTGTTTTATTTAATCAATTTGGCATGTTTCAGCATTGTGACACACATGGTGTGTCATAAATTTGTCTCCATGCGATGTTTTATTTAAACAGTTTGGCATGTTTCAGTGTTGTAAAAACACATTCTGGTTACGGAAGATGCTTAAACCATAAGCGATTCTCAAAAGAGGAAACTACAGATGAATAAGTTATGAAAAAATGATAAAATGGTCCGGAAATGCGCGCTGTACGGCGGTCTGCAATGTGTTAAGATCCCTTTGCATGCAGAGTTATAATATTATATCGCCCGCGACCCAACCTGTGATATACGTATTACCACACCAAGACACTCGCTTGGCGCGTTGGCGCTGGCTCCCTAGGCCCAGGAGGGGAGGGGCCTTTCCAATGGCCTTAGTTACGGTAGCAGCGGTTCACCACACTGCATAATCCCTCATGCGTGTGCAACTTAATTTGTCCCAAGATTTGTAGTTAATTGAGTGAATTATAGTAAGTGGAAGCAGAGGCCATGGGGTGCTTCCACGGGTGACCTTCACATGATGAAAAAGTCTAAAAACTCACATTCCATACCCAAAATTTGAGGGAGGCGTGGCTGCGTGCTTTGCTGCACAGGAGGCGTTTTCGTTAAATATATCCATTGAAGTAACCTGTCATACTGTCTTATTCAGGACAAAGGCATCCTTACAGTTGCCCAGAACGGCAACACCAAACCAGAAGGGCATCCGCCGTCGCGTTCAGGACGGTGAAAAGGTGCGTCATTCTCTGGCGGCGAGCGTTTAATGAGGTCTACTGTGTGCAATGCACATGGGATGGGCGCTTTACGCAAGATTAGCAAAAATGCGCTTGGGCTGCCACGCCCTCTCTATTTTCGGATGTGTAGGGCGTGGGATAGTGCACAAGAAGCGCTATCGGCGTAATTAGGCATGCAACTGGTAGCGCGGCGTGTTACGCAACCCGTTCTGCCCACAGATGGAATCCCAAACAGCCTCAAGCTACTGCTACCCGCCGGCTTCATTTCGCCCACTATCGAGTGACGAAAGAGGCAACTTAAACAATTGCTCGGCCCATTCAGCCTGCACATGGCAAGAACCATGATCCCAGGATGTGAGTCTACACTGTATCTACCCATTTCTGTCGACCCTGCGTGGTCTATTCCGGTGCGCATTCAAGCTGACCAATCAGCCATCAGTGTAGAGGACACACGTGGAATAGACATCGCTTGATGGGTGAATGCTTGCGATTTGCCTAGTTCCACGCCCACACGACGCAGTTCGACGACGCTATGGGGGGGGGGGGGTGGGACATTTTGCACTTTCACTGCTTCACTAGTTCCGGTTTACAAGTCTCACTCTGGTGAAACTTGTGAACTCTTGTGAAGCTGGAGCAAGCTCGTCTAGCCACCATGGTAAAACGTGTCAACTCAAGAAAAGGCTATCTAGATGGGTCATCGATGGGAAGCAAAACCCCTCCCTCCCCTCCCGCTGTCGCCGAACCGCGCCCGCCCACACTTCTAAGATGAACAAGGCTTTCAAACATGAAAGCTCGACCGCTCATCATACACAACGATGGCGATATGGTTCTATCAGATAGGGTCCTATAGATATCACTCTACCATAGCACGGAGTGCTCTTTATCATCACCGCTGTATGCATGCACTAACGCAGCGGTTCACATCATTTGCACTCAGTTCTATGTGTTGGATTGTGGCATGAAAAACAATAGCAAGTTTTCGCCAAGAGTGTGTGAAGTGAGTGACTTACCTTACTACCAGTAGCATGGAAATCAATATTTCGACTTGTACTGCCAACGACGCTAAACGGCTTCACTTCAGAAACAACCGTTAGCCAAGAGACCTTCACCTGGATTAGTCCGCTCCGACTACGTCATGGTGAGTTTTGCATGAACAGAGTAATCAGATCGATGCTGATGTGGGGGAGGGGGTATGTGACAGGAGAATCGTAAATCGCCGCAGCAGTGCACGTCGCGTGTGACGTCGCGTCCTTCAATGACGGCGATTCTAGGTCATATTGATCGAGAATAGACAATATGTGACCAAAAACAGTAATAGATGTCTACGATATCCCAGTCTACATAAAATCCGATGCTTCGAGCATAAGGGCAATGCAAATTAAAAAAAACGTCGCACCCACTGTCGCGTGCGACGGAGCGGCAGATTACGATTCTTCTTGTCCGCCTTCCAGGGGAAGCAGAAGCCTATTCAAAGTTGTTACGGTTTGACAATGATAGTTTCGTCATGAAATGTGGAAGCGGTACAGTGCATATCTAAGCAGTGTGGGGTGTGGCTGCGAAGCGTACGAAAAAGAAAAGTAGGTGTGGAGATACTCTGCCTGGGACGTTCCTGTAGTTGACAATTGTCTTATAGAAAAAGATGATCGTATCAAGCATTTATCGGGAAGAAAGGAATGCCAAGGAGCACGCGTTCATAGCTCTCTCGTAGTCCAGTACGCTCTTTTAGCCAATCCTAGGATTGTCCCCTAGAGTGCCGATTTGGGTAACCCACACGAAAATACTTTTTGGACTTTTTGGAACATCTTTCACCACAGAACCTGCAACTTCTGTCAAAACCAGCTAGTCACTTTTGCCGCTGGCTTAGAAACACACCTGCAACTTGTGCAGACCCTAGGCAACGCGTCAAATTAGCAGCTAAACCATCCTGCCACTGCACACCTCCCTAGCCGCCGAAGCGCCCTACTGTATCAGGCATCCGGAATCTCTGGATCGCCCTGCTGCTGCATACACCCCGCATGCAACAGTAGGGCGCTGCAAATGGTCCTCGCTAAGGTTTTTGATGTTGTGATATTTACTGTGGTAACGTAAAGTCATTGGCTCCTGTTAATGTAAACAACCACAGTAAAATAAAGTTAGCTAAACGGTCGTGGGTGGTGCCACCAGTGAAAGGGGATAGGAACAAGCTGTACCTGAAGAAAAATTGTAGCTCATCTTCGTGGATCCTGAACCTTACCATGATGAGGTGAATGGGTCCATATCTGCACTGGCGTGCTACTTTCTCTGGTCAAAAGTGCACAGGGCAGTCTCCATTCTCCGCCCGCACTACCGCACGGCCAGACACACGCCCAGCTCTAACCAAACGCACTGCCTGCCTGCTCCCTCTCATCGCTGAATGTGGGTTTCACTCCGTTATACTAGTATCGATGCAAGTGCTGCCCTTGAAGACAGCGTGGGCAAATTCGGAAGACGGCATCCCGATGTCTTCCAACCCGTTCCCATGTACTTCTGAGAGGAGAAAATGGCACGCTACTGCAGCTGCGGACCCGCTCGCCTAGCAAGCGACAAAGACCGTCCTCGGGGGCGACCGCGAGCATACGACATGCCTCACAAACACATTTCAGCCAGGTGACGAAACAAACGTCAACTTCAATGAAGAAGCAAGTTTTTCGGAGTTCACTCCTGCAGGACCTAAACCTTCTGAATACTTGATGGTGAGTTCGTCTCATTCCATCCTCAGCGGAATACTGCGACCCCCTATCGTTTCTCACAACGATGCTGTACCCTGGCCAAAAGTGCTTCTGCATTCTGAGACAATATAAAGATTCTAGGATCAAATCAAATTGGAGAAACCTACCAAGAAAGAAATTGCGGATGCGATAAAACAGGACCCTAAATCGTCAGAGGAAGAGCCGCTCAGGCCGGTGGCACCCAGTCCATCAGAATACCAGCTGGCATCGCTCAACAATCAGCTGGTAAGCTTACCTGCGGAATAGGTTTCGCAATGTTTCGTATAATGGACTTCCGGCATGATCACATGGGTCATGTAAGCAGGAAGATGAACGAACCCATGGGCATATCATTGGGTGGGGTTTTGATCGAAACCGTACACCCCCCCCCCTTTACAACGTCTGCAAAACAAGAAAAATCAACTATCGGAATGAATTTTTCTCAGCCCAAATACGACCCCCTGTTGGGGAACCCCCAACAACAATGTGTCCTGCCCATTCACGATCTTTTATTTCAGTCCGCCGTGCCTATGGTGGTTGCGTTCAATGAAAAGGAGAGAAGAAAAGCTCAGGGCTAGTTCAAGCCAAGCCTGTTCCCTGAATCACCTTATTATTTGACCCAAAAACAAACTTCTCCATACATTGAGCTACTAATGCGAAATTGAATAATGTGTATTTTCTATTGCTCCTCTGTATCGTAATCGAGTGAGCTGTATTAATAAAGTTGGATCGCTGTCTTTACTTCGTTGAAATGTTGACAAGTATTTTTGGAAGTTATCGTGCCTGGACACTGACTAAGAGCGCATTCAGACAACGCGAGTCGCAGTCGCGCGAACGCTCGAGCGTTTAGATTGCGCGATCCCATCGTTCGAGCGTTTGGATCGCGCTGGGTGATCTTCTCCAAACGATCGGATGCTTCGAGACGGCACCCGAGAACCACTGACCTACAGCCCCGTCCTTTTGAGCGGAGAAAGTGGCTCGCTACTGCACTGCAGAACCACTCACTTGGCTTGTGGCAAAGACCATCTGGGTACGACCCTAGGGTAGCATTCAGATTTCGTGGCTACCTCATTGTGTGAGAGGATGCAAGCCCTGGTAACGCTCCCGTGCTGTCTGTACTTCTTGCATGCGCGACGTCCTCGGATGGTGTTATCGTCTATTTATCACCTGCTCCGACACTCCGTGTCCTGCAGGTGAATATCTGCAAAAGAATAGGTCTGGATAGACCTTACAGTTTGCGCGGCAACGTGTACAGGCTAGTTGGAAGTCTGCTTGACGCAGCTTGAACGCATCTGTCCGCATCGCGAAAGATGGCAGGGCATCGTAACTTGCCCGCGCTGCCGCGCAAGCGGAAACGCTAGTGCAGAGTGCGCGGCCAAGCTTCTCCATGTGCACAGTTGTCGCTCGGAGCAGCCGGGAACCTATATGAACTGAAGGAAAAGACAATCACAGCAATATCGAATTTCTGCAATCCATTTGACATTCACACTTGGGACGGCTAGCCAGGATAACTGAAATGTCGGACATGAAGTCGCTCGCCACGCCCTCAGCTCAGCATATTACGATTGTCTTGTCCCATACTCATTGCACCATATACCCTACGTTGGCTGTTGCGACGAAGGGGCGCGCCAGCGGGTAATGAGTCGGGGCGGATTAAAATCCGTCAACTCACCAGTTGTTGGAAGCGAGTTAGCTGACAAGGCTGTATCACATCTTCGTATCACTCATTTTCCACCAACTGCTGTCGCGCCCTCGCTTCGAAACTGCGCAGGTACGGATTCGGGGGCCCGTTGACACCCCACCCTACTGCCTGACACGGCCCTTCATTCGCAGCGAACTAGAGCAGTTAGGTGCCGGTTTCTGAACCTTTGTGAAATATCTGTTTGCAAACCAAGAAACGCATTACAGGTAGGCAGCGACTGCCCAAGCATCGAGACGTGCAAGAAACTATAGTGCGGGCAGGAAACGAATTTCTTCAAGCGGGGAGGGGACTCTAAGTTTGGTAAGCTAATCTGCGCGCACTTATCGCTGCTGGGAAGCTAGAAGTGGGAAGTCACAACAACCACGGAGTGCCACTCCAGAGAGCAGAGAAAAACACAACTTCGACGCGTCCGAAGGAACTGAGTTCAAGTTGTCCGTGGGCCGGTAGATGCCATGAATTCCGCCTCTGACATGTTGTGTTCGCGTATCAAGCCCGTAAATAAAGAGCGCATTGGCTACTTTGCATGCAAACGGTCCGGCTGTCTTATTTGCTCGTTCTATCCCATTCATCCCTTACGACTTCCTCCCAGATCTGTGCAAATGCACCACTTTTATGGGTTAGCCTCCACCGCTTTGTTTTTGAGTCAACCGCTCCATTGCGGGCGGCGGTCGTTTGGCCGCGATTTCATTGCCGTTTACGTCGTTTCTGACAGGCCTACAGCGCCTACCCAGATAACTTGTGAATAAATGCTGACACTATAAGGTTTTCGTAATTTGTACCTATAAAAAAACCCGTCCTATTTTTTGGTGATAGCGCTTATTATTCAAACAGTACGGTTGTCGTCTAGTCGATTCACTCTGGGATCTTATACCCTAGTTCAGAGTTGTTTATGGCGAGTTGTTTTCCCCTAGTAAGGTGCAGTTTGCTCTGACATGTTCTTTCGCCGCTAGACGACAAAAGAGAATCGCCGCCGAAACGGCATACACCACCTCATTGTAAGCTGCTTTAACGTAGTTCAAAACAACTAAGCAAAACGCTTCTTAATCATTATCGCAAATGGAAGGGCTTGGCGTAGCCGTTGCATCATTTTTTCACATTTCAATGTGTCGAAAGGTGCTATGTCGGCTAACAGGAACTTCAATGCCAAGGCGTCAGATGTGAGTGGATTCCCTTTCGGTTTTAGGGGTGTGGGAGAGTGGCAAGTGGAACCCACTACCACACACAGGAAATCCCGTATGGAGGCTACGCCAACGAAGCTTTCTGTCTTACTAAAGTCGGTGAGCAGGAAGCCGGTTCGTTCAAGAGGACGAAAAATCCGATGATGAGCATCAGATCCTTTGGCATGCATTTTTCTGCATACTTCCGCGGCACTATATAAGCTCATCAAGAAGGAAATGAGGCCGTATAAGAGAACGAAAGGGATGAAACGAGGTGGACAACAAGCGCACCGCTGCACCAGCCACATCAGTCTTAAAGTGGCCTCGTAGAGGAAAGTGTGGAGCCATGTAAAGACGGTCCGTACACATACCTCCAGGGACGGTCATTGCCGCGCGCGAGACGAGTAGGTCCGCAACAAAAGCACCGCTGCACCAGTCAACCGCAGTAGCTTGGCACTTTCCCTGCTCAAAAATGCATGGGAATGGGGCTGTAGGACGTGGTACTCAAGTGCCGTCCCCATACTCCGCCCGCGCTATCCTAAAGGGGCAGCGCTTAAGGTACCATAAGTACATACAGAGGTCCCGCAGCGGAACGTGCACTCAGCTGTGAAGAGCAAACGGAAGTGAGAGGACGCGGACAAGTAGCGGGTTTTATGTGGTTAGGCGTGTGGCTGGTCGTGCGACGGCGGGGCGGTGAATGAAGACGGCACTAGAGTATCAATCACTACAATCCAGGCCCACTCCGTGCAGTTTGACCCGGAGAAAAGGACACGCTACTGCAGCTCGAAACCATTCTCCCCACATGGCAAGAGCCAAGATCCGTGGGTGTGCAAATTGTTTTTAAGGACACACTGTACGCTCACCTCCCACAACTCTGGTCCCTGCCATGTGTGAAGTGAACGGACCCGCAGCTGTAGACCTTTGTGCTCCTTTGTCTCTCGAAAGTGGGCGGGATTGAAGAACTAGTGTAGTAGCTCTGGATGCCAATTTGGGCTCCACACGCAGGCACAGCGCGGAGATACGTGACTCGCCGCACTGCCAGCCACATGCCTAACCAAGCAAATGGCAGTAGATGATTGCGCTTGCCTACTTTGTGGAGCCATTCTCCACACATTCCCCACAGCCTGGTCGCCAATACCGACAGGTCTTTCTGTGCTCGTTCGTTCGCTTAGAAGTCTTACACTTGGTCACCAAGCCGAACGCGCTGTACGTCCGGGTGGTATGCTTGGAACGGACGTACAATTTTCGCCTCAAAAAGTCCTACTTTCCACGGCCCTATTCAAAGTGGCTGAGGAGCGTGCTCTACACGCCCTCACCTGTCACATGCAGCGGTGTGCCACCGCCGTTGCCCAAAGGCCCGCATGGGCCCTTCTGGGCTGGCACTGTGGTCGGCTTGATAGAGCGCGTGGAGGTGGCGGGGAGGGTAATGGTGACTTTTGCATAGCTTAAACTGTGAGCTAATTGTAAGGCTAGATTGTTCGAATAAGTCGCGGCACTGAACTGGGAAGAGTGTTGGTCAGCGGTTCAACTTTCGTAAGAGCTTGAACTGTGCTGTCACAGCCTGTAACGCGCATCGCGACGCGCCTGCAGTGTCATAGATGTGCGAAGAGCCGCAAGCCCAGAAAAGTATCAAATCAGCGCCGACCGTGCTGCGGTTTCGAAAGATTATAAGTTAATAGGAGAGGCTACCAAACCTGGGTGAAGCCAGCTTACCCTCCTCTTATTTTACTATCTCGAAACACAAGCAGCTGGCGCTGATCGGCATCCATCTACGACTGCCTTCACATATGCAGCTTTAGGGAGCGGCAGATAGCGCGTCGTCACGTGCGTTAACAGCGCCGTTAAAGCGCGCATTGCAAAGGTGAACGCTGCCTTAGTGCATCTCAGGAGGGTGTGTATTTGGTAATTAGACGCACTGAGCAGGCTGAGAGGGCTTTACCTCTTGATATTCAAGAAGAACACATACATTGAGCCATGTTAAGTAAGTATCAGTTTCCAATGTTTCACAGTCGTTCAATCAAAGCTTCCGAATTTTCCTGGTGAGTAAAAGGAGCTCATCGGAATTCATGAGGTGAGACTTCCACCAGTGACATCATGGCGGAAGTCCTGCCTCCTAGTTAACACGCTCACTGTCCTCTGATTTTCGATTCATGCCTTATCAATTCTAGGACAAAATCAAATTGGAAAAATCTACCAGAAAAGAATTTGCTGAAGCCCTCAAACAGCAGACCGCAAATCTTCACCTTCAGACGTAAATTTAACAACAGCAGCCCCGAGCGGTCCGCCTTCGCGAAGATCAAGATGGCTTCGTTTAAAATAAGGAACTGTTAGATTTTCGCATCGAAAATTCTTTTGAAAATCCTCCCCGTCGCAGGCTCCCTGTTTCTTTTTAGGAAAAAAATTTCATGAAACACAGTAGCGTATATGGGAGGTCTGAGAATGTCTCTGGGTGCTGTCTAGCAGCCTTGGGCGGGTGATTGCAACTTCGGTTCTAAGTACGTCGAAGCAAGCATTCGGGCCTAGGAATCTGAAACACTGATGTGTAAGAAAGAGAACCTCGCATTATATAAACCTTAGTTCCACACGAAAAGTCGTTTGAATCCTACCTCCCGACACCGACGACTTGCCCCCCCCCTTTTTTTCTTGGAGGACATTGCAGTGTCTAGTTTTGCCAAATGCTTGTTTCATAACAGCTCGCGATGCAGAAGTCACCATGAAA